AACCGGCTTTTGTATTTATTTTTTAATGTTTTTTTTTTTTTCGTATTTTGTTTTTGTATTCGCGAGCTCTTAAAGCGACCTAATATTTCCTTTTGTTTTTACAAATTTGTTGCAAAAAGCGAAGCGCAAAAGGAATAAGAGTCGGAGCAGGCAGAGTCGCAGCGATAAGATAAGACAAAGGGCGCCTTATCACAGCTGTTTATAAATATGTATGTATGCACATACACATGCGGGCTATAAACAGTTGCAAATATGCATACAAACTGACACTGCATATACATACATACATATAGTGTATATGTTTGCTTGTGTGCATGGAAAAGCTTGTTCTTAACCTATACCACGCAAAGCAATTGCGATAACAAAAACACAATTAAAAGGCGCTCTCTGCTGGCGCGAGTCGCCTTCTTCGTCTTCTGCTTCGTTTTGTGTAGTTGTCTGAATGCCGAGGCCAAGAGGTAATCGCTCGAGAAGAGCACAAAGCGCAATAACAACAACAAATATGCCAGACACAAATGCCAATGCACGCAAAAAGCTAACAACAAAAGTTTCTCTATGCTCGCAGTGTGTGTGTACAACTATTTCAAGTAGTTTTTTTTTTTTTTTTCATTTGCACGACTCTTTGCTGCTTGCATATGTGTGCGTGTGGGTGAAGTGTTTTTGCTTGCTTCTATTTCTGGTGCTGTCTATTTGCGCAAAATTTCTCTAACTGGCGAGCGAGCGCAACAGAACCGACTTGTCGTTGGCTAGAGAGAGAGAGAGAGAGAAGAAGAGAGCGTAAGCGCCCGCGAGCCGAAGAGCGGGAGAGTAGAAGCTTTGATGTTTTTCGTATGCTTTGTTGCCAGTTTTCGTTGGCGTTTTTTTGTGCCGGCACACACAAATACTAAACAGCCGGCAAATGTTTTTGTATGCTCACACAAACACAAACACACACACACACATAACCATGCACACTTCGCTCTCCTTTTTGCATGCATGTGTCACAGCATTTGTTGGCGCCAAATATTTGGCGCTGTTGCCGCTTTTCATAGTTTAGAATGTTTAGTTTCTTTTTAGCTAAGGCACATGCGACGTATGTACGTACATTTATTATGATTTATTCGAGATATTATTACCCAACACTGAAGCATCAGCATCAATTAGAATTTCATCCGGCTCGGTTTGATCACACCAATCGTTCAGGTCATTCAATATATTTTCCCAATCGCCATTCTCCCTGGCATCGTGTGTCTTAGCCAAGCCGATGCCTTCGGGTGCTTCACGTTTGGCATTGCTTTCTGCCAATAGATCAATTTTTTGATTAATATCTAGATTGCTAAAACCACTCAATAATTTCTTCCAATCGTCTTGCTTAACGTCGTCCAAGTGATTTGCCTGATCTACCTGATTTGTCCCCTTCTCCTGCCACTCACTGTTGCACTGCCTGATGTCATCCTGGTTATGCCAATCGTTCAGGAACACCTTCCAGGCCTCGTGCTCATCGTGCTCCTGCTGCATCTGCTTCTTGGCCGACAGCTTCAGCTCCTGGGCATAGCTCTGCTCTCCCAGCAGATCCATACTATTCAACTCCTCCAGGTGAAGCCGCAGCCAGCATCTAATCTTCGTCGGCAGCTTCAAGCACTTTAGGCCACAGAGCTGCATTCGATTTGGCCCCGACTTGGGCATCATTCGATTGGCGTTCAGCAGACTCCTCTCCTCGGCTGTGCTCAGCAGAAACTGTATCGGCTCGATGCGATGCTTCACATCCTTCAGTATCGAGGCAATCTTCTCGTGCCTGCGCAGGATGCTCAGCAGCTTGAGACGTGTGCATCGAAAGGCCCACAGTGCCTGCCGATTGTCTGCCGGCACCTTCTCGGTATTCCTAGTGGCAAAGATCTGAGTACATTTTTGGTAATTCACATTTGGCTTCCGTGACCGTTTGTCCTTCAAATGCTTTGGATTTCTCATCCCTGTCTAAGTTTAGTTTAGCTAACAAAATAAAGTTACTGAATATTGCGTATATGAAACTTGCGAATGTCTTTTCTGTGGCAGAGACTACTGTAGTCTTCTATGTGATCAGTGACTCACTGTCTCACAAAATGCATAAAGACAGATCTATTTTTTTTTTCTATAGAAAATATTTAGATTTTGCTTTAGTCCCTACTCTGTTGCCTACTGCCTAATGCCTCTCTATGTGTATCTCAGGGTGAGCTTTGTGTCTAACAATAAAGAAAACATTAATTTGTATAAATTGATTGACCTATGTTTTTCCTGTTACTCATTTGCTCGCCTACTTGCTAACGCCTCTCTATGTGATTTTCAAATTTACTTGACTTTATGTTAAAAATATAATTTTATATTAAATATAAGAATTTGTGGCATTTTCATAACGGTTTCGCTCTTTTATTTATTTGTGATTGTTTTTATACATTTTAAAGTGTTTTAATTTGATATTATAAATATATTCAGCAAAATTAAATATTTTTAAAGAATTTTATGCCTTTCCATAAACCATACTATTATCATTTTAATTAATAATGATAATATATTAATAATTAATATATAGAAATATAATAAAATATTTGTATATATTTTATGTATTTGTTTCCTCAACCGTTCAGTTTTTTACGCCTTTCTATGCAATTCTCACTGCCGCATTTTCTTGCTATAGGGCATCCAATAATGTACTCATGCCGCAGTGTCCTACAAACACACATATATCTGCCTAATCTGTTCCGTAGGGCGCTTTAATCATGCCACTTTTTGTGCCTCTCGTTTTTCTATAGCTTTGATAAGTCTATATAGATGACGATTATCAGTGCAAAAACATGTTTACTTATAAAGAGAATGTTGACTTATATTATAACAAATTAAATTGGGCTGGAATAAATTAGCTAAAGAGCTTTAAAGCAGAGAGTGCGTCTAATATATGCGCCTTTCTAAGACATTATGGGGTATATACCCCTCTCTTCACACTCTGTAAATTTGTTCACAGAATTGAAACTAGTTTTTTAGCATGCCCTGCTGTCCATCATTAAGTATGTCTACTGTATTTAGCCAAATAACTAAATTTTATTTCATTTTAAGTCGACTGTTTTACTACAGAGCTGAGCTAATCCCTTGGCAGCTTCAGGTGCTTGTAGGCCTCCTCTGTGTGCTTGTCCTTTTCGAGCAGGATGTCACGGACGTCGCCCAGTTGCTGGATGATGCGCTGCTGCGATGCCAGGACATTCTGCAGCTTGACATCGGCGCACTTCAGCATATATTTCATATTGGATGAATCGGGCACATCGCCCAATTCGTCCACCTCGATCAGATTGGGCGACTTCTTGCCCTCGCATACGGTGTAGCTGAGCTTGCGATCGGGCGACAGCTCATCCGGCGGCGTCTGGCGTCCATCCAATACGTCCGGCAAATTGGGCAGGCAGCTCTGCTGCAGCACCTTCAGGCAGCCCGCCAGCGAGGTCTCAATCTTGCTGCATTGCTCCACGGCGCGCTTGATGCAGTCTGTAGTTGGTTCGTTGGGATCCATTTTCAATTTGAGTTACGATTCACTTGCAGTTTTTACACTTTGTTCAATTTTTTCTCGTTTACGACAAATTATCAACTATATAATATAATATATAGCTACAATTATCGACTGGGTCGTGTGACTGAACTCGCTTACGAATTGTGTGACAAATGGATCTGGCAGTTGAAGCAAGTGTTATGCGATTAAATAGATTTCCCAGGGCTGCTTAGAGAAATCGACAATTTTTGACATTTGAAGCAAATGTCACTTGGATCTTAGAAATTTTACGGAATAGTTGAATAGAATTGAGTGAAAATTAAAGTATAATCGATAATTATCTATAGTAATTTTTTAGTCAGATAAACATAAATCAGGTTATCCTAAAAAGAAATGCGTAAATCTTGCAGAAAGTCAATAATTCGTAAGATAGAAGTAGTTAACGAAATTTTGACTCCTCTCTAATATATTATTTTTTTGTTCAATTTAAATATAGATATAATCAGATACTTAAAGTATAAGATCTTAAATTGAAATGAATTAAGATACTATTGAAGCACATAGTTACTATAAAGTCACATGTGAGATACATTCTTCACATTTATGGCATCTATCCATTTATGTATTTCTATTTTTTTTTTCTAACAGCTACTCCTAACAGCATTTCCAGCTGGCATTCTCTTGCTATGCTCGTTCCTGCCTCGTTTCAACATGCAGCACGTGGCATGTCAAAAATTTAAAAGGCGCGCCACATCCCCGACCCAGTCGCCTCGTCCCGCCCCGACACATGCTCCTGCTGCGTTGCACTTGATTTACCCAGTTCTAAGCTTGGCAATTTTCAAATCGTAACACTTTCACGCGCTGCGCGCCAAAAGGAACAGCGCAAGAGGAGACGCTGCTCAGACGTCAGACCTGTCGCAACTGCACACACACACACACACACATGCAGAAATACAAATACATGCACACAAACAGCCTGTACAGCGGCGCTGTTAATGTGAACCCTTGCTCTGCTCTGCGCTGCTCGTCGTGGAGCCACCCAAAATACCAACAACTTTGCCTCCAACTGACAGCAAAGACTCGCGACGCCAGCAGCGACGCGCGCGTTAGCAGCAGCAGTCGCGCGACAAGCACGCACAGAGAGTTTCCAACACAGACAACAGATTGTATATCTACACACACACACACACATAAGTATACATACATGTATGCATACACCTCCAAGTTGCCTTTTTGCAAAAAACTTTTTTCAGTGCTGCTTTTTATTCGCTTTGTTTGCCTTTGTCTGTGCGCTCTCTCACGTACACATACACACCCGCTCACATGTGCACATGCGAGTCTTGCTGCTCTCGTTGCTTTTGCTGTGAGTATCTCTCTGCCTGTGTGTCTGTGGGGGCCGCAGCAGCGTCGTGGATGTCGTCATCGTCGTCTTTTTGCGCTCGCTTCGTTTCATTTCGTTTCGTTTTTGCGGTCTGAGCGCGCGCGTCTGTAAAAAAGCTCTTTCAAAGTCTCTGTCGTCGTCGTTGTAGCCGCCCCCAACACACACCCCGCTAGCTTAATATATATACACATACAAATATATATGATTTTTTTTCTCGTATTTTTCCATTTCTTTTGCGCTCTCCCAGTTGCGGTCGTCGTTGGCGTCGCTGTCGCTGCCAACGTCAACGGCGCTGCTTGGCTTGGCCGCTCGCTTTCATGGGGTTCTTGAGCGTATGCAAAAGATTTTTGCACATATTCATCTTTTTGGCCGTTTTCGGTGCGTTTCGTAGAGCGCGCGTCGCGCAAAACTTTTCAGTCAACAACATTTTCGCGCTAAATTTGTCTTCGCTTTGTTCAGTGTGTTCTGTGTTGTGTGTTCTGTGCTCTGTGCTCTGTTTTCTGTGTGTACTGATTCTCTGTGTCGCCGTTTCTGCTGTTGTCTGCATATCTTCATCTTATTCCGCTTTACAATTTCTCGTCTTCTGCTGCGTCTGCCGAGACGCTGAGATGCCGATACATCAGCTTTGCTCTGGGATACACTTAGTTTCATTTCCTACATTTCACGTTGTTCATCTCGTTCGTCCGTTTTATTTATTTACTGTGTGTTTTGTTTCGTTCCTTCTTCAACTTGAGTGTTGCGAATCTATCTATACAAATATCTTCTCAGTGTGGGTGTATGTTTGCGTGAGTGTGTGTGTGTGAGGGATGTCTTGAAATTGATAAAGTGCATAAAATTGAGTTCTAAGCATGTATTTATTGAGATATTTATTTGATTGACGACCTTGGAATTGTAGGATATTGAATTGTGAAACAGTGCTTGAAAAGAGTTCTAAAAATAATACTGTTAAAACTCTAAGTGTCTTAAATAATACTGTAAAATAGCTCTATATATACCAAAAAGTGAAGAACTACTCAAAAACAGTTTAAAGAACAGTACAACATGCTTATAAGGATTGGGAAAGACTCAAATTCGCGGATGTGATATATAGATATAAATAAATCAAAACTGCAAAATTTTACTAAGACAAACATTTAATGCCTTAATATATAGAATAAAAATTTATGATTAAATTTATATAACATATGATCATAAGTTAAAATATATTTTAATTGCAAGAGATCCAAAGAAAACATTTGTGTACTTTTAACATATCTAACATATCTTGTATATAAACTATAAAAACTCTTAACATATACCAAGTATACTCTAAATAAAAATGATTAAGTCAAAAAATCTTAAAAATTAACTTTAAATAGTTAGTGAAAAATTAAAAATTGACCATGAATAATAATAATATCTAAATCATTTGTCAAAATAAAAATATAGATTTGTTTAAATTATATACTCAACAAGTATCTCAAGTATAAAACTGACAAAAATATGTATAAAATTGCATTGCAATTGTGAATAAAATACTTAAGACTATTTTTAAACAAATATACAAGATACAAGTTACAGTTATAAAATTCACACGAAAAAAACCGAATTGTGTATAAAGTACCTAAAACTTATAAATAGTTTGAGCCATAAGCATTAAAAGTGTTTGAAACAATTAAATGCAAAAATGCATTTGAAAATAAGTTTTATTTTGTTTGCCAAATAAAAAGTCAATGAAAATGTGCTAAACCAAATGAAACAGAGAAAGAGAGAGGAGCGCAAGAGTTCTAAAAATAAGTACAGAAAAACAGTTTCAATTAATGACAAAACACATACACATACATATGTATGTACATATATGTGTGCCTGTTTGTATATGGATTTGTCTAGTGATTGAGTATCTTCTATTCATGGCTTGTTGCGGTTCGCCAATTTTTCGCCCATCTATTTCAACTGTTCCCATAAGTACAAATGTCGGTCTGTATATGTTTATATGTAAATATATAGGTATGTGTGCGTGTGTGTGCGTGAGCATTGTACGTCATCTAATCGCTTGTATTTAAATGCAAATGCGCTCTTTAGCTGACAGATTTGTCTGCTTTGGCTGAAGGTGTGTGGCTGTATGTGTGTGTATCAGTATGTGTGTATGTGCCTGCAATCGCCGGCGGCAGCGCGTTCAACATTTCGCTCTTTGTTTTTCTGCCTTAGATTGTATCACAATTTGTGTGTGTGTGTGTGTGTGTGTGTGCTTGTTTTTGCACTTTTGCATATGCCCTGCCTTTGCTTTACCGCAATGCTTCATACGTTTTATTTGTTTGCTATTTGGCCACTCAAGGCGCAGTCAGCCAGGCCCACCCCCATTTTTACAAACAGCGGCGTTTTGAACTTGAAATTTTTGTTTGTTCGCTTTTAGTTTTGAATTTCCAATACTCGGCTCCTTGTTGTTGTTTTATTGTTGTTGTCTACGCCGTTATCCTGCCAGTGGCGCGCGCTCTTTCTCTCTGCCACTCGCTCTCCGGAGCGCCCAGCTTAGACAATTGCGTATGCCTCTGGGGCTTAGTTCGTTTCGTTTATTGTGTATTCAAAGAGAGCAGGAGAATGGGAGAACAAATTGTCTGTGGTTGTATTTGTGCGCGCTCGCCATGTGTCTGAATTATTTTTTTTTTGGCAAACAGGAAGTGAAGGCAAAGGCACACAGAATGATATCGATTACGATAACATGCGATTATTTGAATTGGGCATAGAAAATGTTGAAACACTGATAAATTGTTTAGAGCTGTTAGAAAATGTTAAACAACATAAAGAATATTATTATTCAAATACATTAATGAAGTGCCGTCGGCCTTCACAATTGCCGACGGCTTTAAAAAAAAATGTGTCTAATCGATTTTTGTTCTTTTCTCGTCACAGGTGCTTTTTGACTGTTTGGAACATTTTTAAAGATTACGTTAAAACGTTGTTGATACTTATTAAAAATATTGTTTTGTTAATTATAATAATAATAACAATAATAATACGAAATAATGATATAATACTAAGACTAAATCATCATAATAATGCAATTACAAATGTAATAATAATAATAATCTATAATATAAAATATAACTCATGTGCAATCAGTTAATAACTTTTTAATTTATTCATTCTAACAATTTATTTGTATATAATTTATAAAAATAAAAAAAAAATCTTCGACAACAACAACAACAAAGAAACGGAAAAAGAGCAGAAGCAAAAATATATTAAAGTTTTATTTCAGTTTTAAGCGAAAATAAAACAAAAAGTGATTTTTAGTTAGTTTCTCAAAATTTAACAAACAAAATTCACAACAAAATTTGGAATACTACAACAACAACTACAACTACTACACAACAACAACAACAACCACTGCAACAACAACAAACAACAGCAACCAACCGACAACATTATAAGCAACAACAACAATTTATAATACAAAATATAAATAAAAATAAAATAAATAATAATAGAAAGTGAAACGTAACAATAAAAGCAAATACAAGAAAAATAACATAACTGTAAACGAAATAAAACTATAAAAGCAACAAAAAAGAAAATCAAAAACAAAAACAAAAATCAAAACCCGAAATAAAACCAAACACAAAAACCAATCCAACAAAGCAACAGAAACAGCAACAACAACAACAACACAAAAATAGCAACAAATCGAAACGAAACCGAAATAGCCTTAAAACAAACAAAAAATAACCAAAAAACAAAAGCAACAACAATATAAACCGATAGACCGATAAACCGATTACAAAAACAGCAACTGAAACAAACGCAAAAAATAGAGACAGATAAAAACAAAACAAAAACCCAAAATAGAAAATAGCAACGAAACAGAAAACAGAAAAATACCGAAAAAAATCAGCAGCAGAAGTGAAAAGGAAAACAAAAATAAGAAATCAAAAGTCAAATTCCAAAGCCAAAAGCAAAAGCAAACAAAAATAAAACGCAGAAAGCAAAACCAATATCAAAAGCAAACAAAAACAAAATAGCCAAAATTTGTTAAATTTTTTGTGTCTCATTAAAAAATATTAATAAAAAAGAACTAAAATATTTATAAAAAAAACTTTTGTGTTACGGTTTTTCAATTTTCGTCTTTTAAATTTACGTTCGTAAAAAAGAAAATGTTCTGAAAAAGTCTTTGAGCAAAGCAAAAGCTAAAAAACAATTTTTCAAAACTTTGATGAAAACTAAAAAAAGGTGAACTGAAAAAGTGAAAAAAACGAGGCGAAAGAAAGGAGAAACAAAAAGAAAAACAAAAATTATGAAAAAGGGTTCAAACCCCATTTAGTGTGTGTTTTGGCTAAGGAAAGCACGAGACAGTTTGAGCGATATATATATCGGTAATATATATATATACATATATATAAATATATATATCATAAAAAAAAAAAAAAAAAATTTAAACTAAAGGCAAATATTCATATCGTGGCAAAAAAAAAAAAAAAAAAAAAAAATTTTAAACAATTTTCAAAGTAAATAAATTATTCGTAGTGCAGAAAGCAAATTAAAGAACAATAAAAAACCATTCAGAAAAAAAAAAATAAAAAACAAAAAATAAAAATAAAAACATTTTAAGCTATATATTAAATTGTATTACATTTATGATAAACGTCATGAAAATTGAATTCAATTGAAAACCCACAACACACAACCCTAAAAATATAATAAAAAAAACAACATATTTGAGAATTTAAAAACAAACAGTTTTTTGGGCCAAATAAACAAATATTTAAAACATAAACAACATTCCCCATTTCGACATAATCCTTGGAACAGGAATTAGAGACGAACAGAAGAACAGCTAAATCAAACATTTTGGGATTGAACAACTGGTAAGTAACGGGCCTATTTTTTTTTAAGATTAAAGACAACGTATACTTGATATCCATATAACATTAGGGATGAAAAATATATACTTTATTTAATATATATTTTATTTTTACTGTAGATAAAGTATAATATAAATTAATAAATATATTATTCATATATCTCATTTACGTTTTAGAAATTTACTTTCAGTTATAAATTTGTATTATATTATGGTAAATATACGTACAACAATTTACAGCACAAATATAAAATTTTGTACGTATACAAAAATATATTTTTATATAGAGAAATATAAAAAAATATATAGAGAAATAATTAATATTTCTACCAAAAAAGAAAAAAAAAAAAATAATAATAAATAAATAGTAATTCTCAAATATATGCATAATGCCACAGATCCCCATAATATCCACATTTTAATAGTTTTGATAGTTTTGCCCCACCCCCTAAAATTGTCAATTAAAAGTTTTCTGACAGCCCTCGATATGGACTGTCATATATAATTCTTTGATGTCGCAATTTAATAGCAAAAATAAGAGTGTTCATACAAAAAAAAAAAAAAAAAAAATGGTACAGACTGATGCAAAGCATTAAAATACGCATCAACTGTGCGAGCGAGACAGATAAAGCGCCAGTGGTCAGCGGCGCATTGTGCGAGAGAGATGGCGACAATGCGCGCCAAAAAGCAGGCAATGAAAAAATGAAAACGCCTATTATATAAGGGAGTCTCTTACATATATCTATATACAGTGTATATATGTATAAATGGGTGTGTGTGTGTGTGTGTATAAGTGTGTATGGCTCATCTACATGCAAATTGCATTTACGCGCAAAAAATTAATTATTGAAAAAATTGCGCGAGCTGCGACAGAGGCTGAGGCAGCGACTGTGGCAGAGGGAGGAGAAAGCGAGAAAGGGTAAATAACCATGGCACCCAAGCACTCACCCACCCCAGTGTTAACGCTGCTGTGTGGAGCCAGTGGGCTGTGGTCAGTGGGCGTGGCACTGCTGCCGCTGCGGCTGGCAATTGAAAATCGAAGCACAAGAGTCGAAAGGATGAGCGAACAGCAAAAAAGAGGAAGCATTACACATATTTTTTAAATGAATTGAAATAAAATTTCGTACATAAAAATGGGCATACGTGTCTGTGTGTGCGTGTACATAAAAGTACAGTTGACGCCATACAATTTGAGCAGCAAATGGCAGCAGCAGCAGCAGCAGCAGCAGCGGCAGCAGCAGAGCCTCTGTCCAGGGTTGCGAGGCGTGCGAGGGGTCAGGGCTTGTGGGTTGGTCACTCAGCATCCATTTGACATGACAGAGCAACGACTGTGGTCTGCACACACACACACACCCACACACACACACGGACACGCACACGCACATGTCTGTGTGCGTAAGTGTGAAAGAGACTGACTGTCTGCAGTACGTATTATAGATATTTGCTACGCCTGCCACCCACGCATTGCAAGTAGCTGCAATTTCAAGTGGTTTATACCCCATTTGCCACCCACTTTATATAGATGTATCTTGATAATGTGCGTGTGCGGGTGTGTGGCCTGCAAACCATGCAGAAGTCACCTTAGATTAGTTAATTAACTAAATCTAATGCTGATCCAGTAGCTCAATTTATTTTAAATACTGCAAAAAAAATGTTGAAAATGGAAGTTCGATTTTCTAATGATACAATTTTTTTCTCAATCAATTTGAACATTAAAAATCATAGTAAAAATTACGAATATATAAAAGTATTTGAATAGGTTTTTTTAATACTATTATTTAAGACTTTTTTGTTATAAAAAATTTGAGCTTAGTAAAAATAACTCCAAGCTTTGAAAACCTTTATCTCAATTACCTCTCAATTACTTATACGATAATCCTTTCGATTTGATTTCTCTTTTACTTTGGTTCATGACAATTTTCTTGAGTCTCAATGCCTCTACAGCTCTATAGTTAGGTATCGATAACTTCATAGTCAAGTATCGATAGTTAGCTATATAGCTATACCCTCTAGTTGCCATTAAGCTATTTATTGTATTTATTGTAGTAGTTTTGTTTTCAGTGTTTCTAAGAGAGTAGAAGAGAGTGTAGTATTTGTTTTTAGTGTTTCTAAAAGAGGGCTTTACTTAGGGCAGATCTATGTGCTGAGGCTGAATTTTGAATTTCGTCTTCAGGAATATTTATTTTACGAGCGTCTTTTCCTTTAGACTAAATTTATCCGCACACAGCTCTATTAATGAATTTTCCAGCAATATTCCAGCTTTTAGTCTATGTTTCTAGGTTGCCATAGATCCTAGGTACATAGATGTGTTAAAGCCTTGTCATTATTGACAACATTCATGTGCATCGTTTTATATGTTTTAGTTCTCTTCTTCTTCTCTTTTCGTTACTTTGCTTTGTTTGCCCTGTTCTACTCTGTTTTTTATTTCCGCTGCGTTTGCAGTTGGCAACAGCAGCTGCAGCAGCACTTGCGAAAAAAGCAGCAGCACCACCCGCACCACCTAATCGAGCCAAAATGCGAGGCATCCCAAAAAAAAAAAAAGTTAAAAAATTCCGCACACTTTGTGCTTTTTTTTTTCTTTTTCTTCTTCTCTTACGCTTTTTCGGCTACATTCTTTTCCATGCCATTTCGTTAATTTTATTGCAGCTGCTGCGAAATTTTCATTTTCTTTTTCCACATTTTTTTACCCAAAAATTTCTCTTCTTTTTTTTTCTGCATTGTCATTGAGTGCAACTACATAGAGCAATCGAATCGTATATAGATGCGGAGTCTAGAGCAAACGTGACATATCATTACCCGCGGGTAAATACCCATAGGGGCAGGGAAAGGGGGGGGCAGTGGGAGTGGCAGCTGGGCAGCTGTCAGTTTTTTGTTGTTGTGTTCTTCGTGTCTATAACATCAAAAAACATTGTAAAATCATTTTCTTTTTTTTTTTTTTAACAGCGAAGGTTTTTGCTCGTGTGGAAGTGGAAGGGGGAGGGAGGGAGGGCGAGAGGGCAGCTCTGTGAATTGTCGAACATTTTCGGTAAGAGATATGCGACATGTTCTGGCAAAAAATAATTAGTGGTTGGCTTTGAAGAGATAAAAGTCAAGAGATATACATAGATAAGATATGAAATGGAATTTGGTTTAAGTTTTAGGGCTGTTTATTGGAATAAAAATTAAATAATTAATATATATGTTTAAATCAATGAAATGATAAATAATTAAATAATAAATAAATAAACAAAATAAATTTAATTATAATTATTAAATAATTAATATATATGGCTAAATAGTTAAATAAATCATTGAAATTTAATGATAAGCTAATAAATTAAAACATTTTAATATTGATTGAATTCTTGAACTATTGCAAAAAAAGGGGAAAAAAAATAATAAAAAATAATAAATAAAGACATATATATGTTGTATATATTTTAAATTAATACAGTAAAATAAAAATGATAATAATAGTAATAATTAAATATTAATATATATCTATAAAAGATTAGCATTAAATAATAAATATAATAATTATTCAAAATATTAATAATTAAATAAATTATTTTTAAACAAATACATTGACAAACTAATAAATTAATAAATTATAATGCTAAAACAAAATATGAAAGGCTTAGTATTTTTATGTAATTATCATACTAAAATAAATATCATTTTTTGATTATCAGATAGATCAGCTCCCATTGTAACCTACACTTCTTTTTCTTTATTTTTCCCAACTCTTTTCTGTCTTCTTTTCAATCCTCGCACCTCTTCTCATCTCTCTAATGCTTTTCATTTTTATGTATTTTCACCTGCACTTTAATAATCTTTTCATCTGCTTAAAGTGAGGTGCGAGGCTTTGTTTTAGAATGTTGGCCCTGTGCCTGTGCCTCCTGGCCCGCCCGCCCCGGCCCCTGCTCTCTCTGTGTAGCACGTATATGTCAAATTCATATTTGGCTGGCTTTTGACAACTTCAAAAGCATTGCGAGGCTCCATTTTTTTTCTAATTCTTTTTTTTTCCATTTGCTGCAAGTTGAATGCCCCCAGACGCCACATAGCTAGGCAGAGGCGCGCAAATAGTATGCGATGTCTAACTGCTTGCCCCACTGTGTGTGTGTGTGTGTGTGTGTGTGTGTGTGTGTGTGTGTGTGTGGCAGCAAGGCCAACGCGTGCAACGTGCGGGTGGCTCCAAATGATGGCCAACCAGTGCAGCACCACAGCACCATTACCACTTTAGTTGGGTGCTTAGCTTTGGGGACTGAGCTGGGGCTGGGGCTGGGGCTGAGTTGGGGATTGTCTGCCGCGCTTCCTGTGGCCCGCACATCGTGCACATTTTCGCTTTTGTGTGTGTTTTGAGATTCTACACGTACTTACGACAGCGACGACGGGCAGCGGGGTTAGATAATGTTGCTGTTGCTGTTGTTGTTGCTGTTGTTGTTTATATTTGCTTTCATGACTTTCACTTGCAGTGCGACGCATTGTGCCACAGATGTTGCCTAAATAGAGTTACGTGAGCTTTCCGCATGCGAAACAGTTTCAAGAGCCAAACGAGAAGTGCTTAATTAGAGCTCCACTGAATATGTTGGGGGTGGATCTGCCATACCTGAAAGCTGTTATATTATATTTTAATTGCGAAAAAAAACGAGGATCTTGTTGAAATTAATGAAAAGGTTGTGGGCAAACTGAGAACTGAAACTAAGACTTGAAAAAATATTTGTTCATGTTTTGAGAAAAACATAAGAACTGTTCAGTTAGATAAGTAAATCTGAGCTAGTTCACAAATGAGGCAGGATGAAGAGTGTTTAAATACATATTCAAGCCAATTTTGCATTAATTCTGATTAATTTTCCTATTGATATGTATTTTGAACTAGTTCACAAATGAGCAAGGCTTGCGTATGTCTGCTTGATCATATTTCTAAACTATTTTTCTTTTAAATCTAATCATTTTTACTCTTTATATATTTTGAACTAGTTCACAAATGAAGAAATCTTCCTTAAATATGCTTATTAATAATTT